TGTGAGATTGAACATAGATCATGTACATTATGACTCCTTTTTTGTCTCCAAAATCTGTTGTATATTCCTAAAGAAGGTTATTTACAAAAGCTGTTTCAAACTGCATCCTGGGTAGCGAAGAAAGGTGGATATCCGGAAGCAAATAGCCAACTTTGGAGTTTGGATTTCCCATTAAAAATTGTAGATAAACAAGTTATGGGTGTAGTTGTATTATGCTACCCCCTAACAATTACTTGAATTAGCAAAAGGTAAAAAAGATAATCAGAAGCACTCCATGGTTGTAATGCCAGAATGAAATAATGAGGTCATTGAAGGAGCAATTTTTTTTTAATCCCCTATAAAGGCTATTTATGTTGCAATAATCACTTTTAGAAGATTTGAGATTTATAAATGGAGTTCCTCTTCTCATAGTTTTGAAAATGACATAAAAGAACCAAGTCCACCTAACTCATACAACTAAAGCTAGAAAACAGAATCTAGAACTAATTTAATCAATTGACAAGAATTCAAGACATGGTAACTCACCTTATTTTCACAAGCAGAGGTATTGCTTCCCAAACAGAATTATTGTCTGCACTCAGGACCTAAGTGTCCATTTGATGAAGAACACATTCGTCCATATGCCTGCATTTTGCAAATGTTGCACACATGTTAAAAATCATTAACCCAAACAACTTAGAAATTAAAGGTGGTCAAGCGTGGGATTTGAGTGAACTAACAAAACATGTACCTCTACAAGACTTGCATCTTCTTCTTCCCCATTTCGTCATACCTACATCATAAATCCCCAATCAAATGAAACAACTAGGAAAATGATGCTGATCAAATTGAAACAAAAATCATTGAAAAGTTTACAAACCATCATCAGTTGTTCATTTTCAGAATCACTACCAGCATCATTACATCTTTGCTCATTGTAAACACTTTGAAGGTAACCTTATTTCGAAACCTTGAATTTCTAATGACAAGCGATGAAATAACTTCAGTTGGGCTTCTAAGAAAATTCACAACAGTACACGAAAATTTGGGAAGGGTAACAAAATCAAATCTATGCTTCACCTGGAAACCAAATCAATTGAAACTTCCCAGTCCTTCCTCTCGGTTTTTATGTATTACTGCTTCCAATCAGAATCTGCCCTGCTTGTAATTATTCAGTCAAATGTTAGAGACTAGAACACTTAAGCCATCTAATCTTTACATTATCTCGGTTAGGCTACCTTATTTGAGGCATCCAATTCTTACCTAATGCACCATCACATACACCAAAGAAGAAAGTAGCTGCACCCAGATCAGGATATGAAGCATGCTACGACAGCAAATGATACTACTCATTAAAACATATCTCTACTAGAGAAAACTAAAGATGCAAATATTTTTGAAAACAAAAGCATCCAGATACTTAAACTCTTTGAGGGCACAAAAGATTTAATTCTTTGCTCACAGCATCCTTCATGGTTGCATGCCATCCTTGAATGGATTATGGCTTTGAGCTTGATTGAGCCGACCCTATTTTGTAGAATGGTGAAACCACATTGCTTTGAGTGTAATTATTCTTGGAAGGTCCTGAGATT